AATAAAAATTAAATAAAAAAAATAAATAAAAATAAAAAAAAAAAAAAAACATGACAAAATAGCCAAGTTTTTGAATAGCATAGACATTGTTAATAAAAAGGTTTTGATTAAACACAGACTACATCTGAAATATTTAATAGTAAAAAAAAAAGACTTACATATAATCAACAATAAAGCAAACCAACAACCATAAATAATTATTTTAAAAAAATAAGTTTGATGGATTTTGATACCGAAACACGGAATATATTTTGTCAAGCAAAATTATAAATTTAATTGCTTAAAAAAATGAGAAAACCTCAGCCGATTCGCTTGCCAAATGGATATATTATATATTTTGGCAGTTCTTTGCTATATGCCTATAGCATCCCCAGCCAAAAAGGTATGTTTTTTATTTTTGTCATTAATACAGTGGATCTTCCATTAAATATGCCCTACTATATAGCAGCGTGATCATTTGATTGTGACTTGGGATTCTTTCAATTGTAACGTAAATCGCGATGTTATTGGCTCCTACAGATGCTTCATTGTTGACCCGGAGAGAACTCTGCTAACGGCCGAATTTGACTATGGTCGAGCATTTCCACATATTAATATTACCCTAGCACTCTATATTGGACGAGGAAAGTCAAAGACATTTCGCAAGACTTTAATTTTACAAGTAGATTATTGTGAAATCAGTCGAAATCAATTAAGAAACAAAATCGCGAATATGGCCTATAAAAGTATAACAGAGAATAGCAATTTTCCAAGAAAGTGCCCTGTCCCCAAGGTAATTGTCTCACTCTTCTATCTCAATGTGAATTTGGATATATCTCTCTATCTCGTTTGCTATTCAGGACCTCTACTATTTTCGCAACATAAACGTATCGGAACATATTCCGCCTTTTCTCCCAGCTCTTTCTTTTAAGGCAGAAATGAATTTTGTTTCGATCAATATAAAAATGATAACTGTTTCGGTTACTGGAAATTTTACACGAAAACAAACCAATAAATGATCAAATTTTGTGCTCAATAGTGGATTATTGTGCAGCGCATATTTATTGTCAATAAACGTTAATTTTATCTTATAATATATATTACTCTAGATTAACTTAGTACTCAAAAAACAATACAATATACTAATTTCCCGTGCTATTTCCTATAGGTTTCAGCCACGAGCTGGTTATTCGCACTTTAATATTATTACTATAAGCATCCAGGACGTCAAGGTATTCCCAAAATTAAGTCCATCGAATATATATCGGATCTGATCATGCTGAAGCATAGCGATATGCATAAGAATTGCTTTCCACAAAAGATGACTTAGATCAAAGAAAAACTCATCAAATACTTGTAGATCTAACATATATTTTCCGAGCTTTTGCTACTACATATAATCAATATAATCATTGGAAATAATAATGGAGTAGTACCATATATTTATGTATAGGTTTAATTGTTCAAAAAAAGATAATCAAGCAATTAAAATTTAAAATAGCTCAAACACTAATCATTTTTCAGACCCACATTAAGTATATTTAGTCATTGTAAACATGCCAACCAATTCGGTAGCCAAATAGATAAGTTATATATATTTTTGATCAATCCTATTGTACGTGTATATTAACGATATCTGTATAAATTCGAAAAGCATGAATTCAAATATATTCTAGACTTTGTTATTTGTGAATCTCTTGATTTTTTTGCCATCAACTAATATTTTAGCAAAATAGTCTACCAAAATTATCCAAGAAAGTGTGTTCAGCTGAGGGTAATTAACAAACTCTCTCTCTCTATCTCTTTCAGTCTCTATTAATATTAAAATATATATCTCTCTCTCCGTCTACTTCTTTCCAATTTTGCGCTAGGGCAAACAATGTTAAATATTTTTACAAACGGAATCAGCACAAATGCAGTTAAAAAATTAAAATAAAAGTAT